TTACATTCAGTTTGAATTTTGCAGAGTAAGACATTCACTTATTTATTTTTTTATTTTCCGATATCTTTATGGGCTCAGAATGCTCTGACATTACTGGTCCCTGTTGCATCTGCGCACTGCCTACCTCCAACAGGATGTATTCCAATTGGTTTGTTCAATGCAAGTTTACATGTTTGTTTTAACTTTACAGGAAGGGATGGTTTGCATATGAAACTCAGCTATGTTTTATGTATTGTCGAAGGCTTTCACGGCCAGAATACGATGGCTGGTGTGGATCTTCCAGGCTGTGTGGCCGTGTTCTGGAAGTTTTGTTTCCTAACGTTTCGCCAGCATCTGTGACCGGCATCTTCAGATGGCAGCAGCTGAGGCAGGAGCAGAGAGAACTGCTCCTGTCTGTGCTCCTGCCCTCTAAAGATGCCGGTCACAGATGCTGGCGAAACGTTAGGAAACAAAACTTCCAGAACACGGCCACACAGCCTGGAAGACCCACACCAGCCATCAGCTATGTTTTATTCATACAAAGATTCTAAATACCATATTTTTCCGTGTATAAGACAATACTTTTTTCTAAAATCATTACACTAAAAATTGAAGGTCGTCTTATGCAAGGAAGTAAGACGAGGAGAGAACGCGCAGTTGCGAAGCTGCCCATACTTTGTCTTTGCAAACAGGCTTCCTCCAATCACAAGCCTTATGTGGTATACAACAAGTCTTTTCTTTTGCTTGTTTACAGATGTGCCTCAAGGATGCAGCATTTCTAAAATGGTGAGGACACTGAGTACAGATGTCATGTTTTCAACACGAAAACTGTATTTGAATTTTGGGACCAGCTCCAGTGCTCATAAAAATCACTTGAATTGCTTGCAATAAAAGAATAAATGTCTAAAATTACAGGAAAACAGTACTGTAGTGAGACATTTCACCTTACAATTGTGACTCATTATCAAACACCTATCTTTTCAGTTTAGTAACTACTTTAATTCTGATCACATATTTATGAAGATGGAATCTGTCTCAAAATTACTGTTTAGTCATGTATATTATTTAAGGTTCACACTACATAGTATATAATGTAAGCTATATAATATACCCAGCCAACCTAGCCAGTTCAGTTCTAGAGAACAAATTCCTACAAATGTGGTTAAAAATAGATACTCTAGTAATTTTCTATCTGTATTGTGGAATTATTGGACAAATTAAATTAGTTGGATGAATTTGCATGAGATGCAAAAAATAGTTGTTTTAGTTTTTTACAATCAAGACAGTTTTTACAAGGATTTTCTCCTTTTTGTGCTTTACCTATTTGAATCACTCACTGGGGGAAAGGAGGGAAGACAGGTGATAGTTATTTGCATTAGAAGCAGATTAATGCAACATCTAAGAAATAAATAGTGAATCATTCAACTATGACCAAGGAGAAGGAAACCTTATAACGGTGTTTTTCAAGCTTTCTAATTTTGAACCACTAAATATTAAAAAACGTAGGGACCATCCAGTTAAACACTCCCTTCTTATGTTGTGTTTAACAACATGGGAATTCACGTTTTTCAGCAAATGATTCTAATTACATTTGTATATGCTTTCCCATCCTCTCCATTTTTAAAGGCTTTTTTAAGCTAAATTGTGTATCAAAAGATTTAGTTCAAAATTAAATCTTTATTTTGCACTTGAATTATTTTATGTACCTTATGCTATAAGGTAGTTGGTATAGTGATTAAGATACTACAGGGACTACAGACACTTGTCCAAGCAGTCACCACAAGTCAATGTTGCCTTGAAGGCACAAAATAATTATTTTAATGTCATAATAACAACTCTTAGCTGGTCAATAATGAACTTCATTGAATTCTGAAGTATTAATAGTTTAGGAGAAAGTAGATCTCCATCCCAGAGAAGTCCCATTTCTAGTTATGTATTGTCATACATAATTTCTAGTTGCAGTTTTCTTTTTGGGACCACATTCCCGTTAGCAGAATACATAGTGATTCACATTTGTAATTGCTTAAGATCTGTTCACTGTGGTCAGTTTCTGAGTTTTAGTGCTTGTCTACTGAAATAAATGCTTGTCTGCATCTGCAAACCCCAATTATCAGTGGCTGTTCCATTTTTGCATACCATCTGACCAGAGTAAATATGGGGAAACTGTGGGCTGCCAGGTGGACTTCTGTGGACTACAGTTTGAAAATCGCTACCTTAAACCTTAATAAATCTCAGTCCCTCTATGTGAATAAATCAGTAAATCTCAGTCACTCTGTGTGAATAGGGCAAATAGTGGGTGTGAATGTATTATATTTGTGGTCTTTCTATTTTATGTTCAGTTTTAACTGGACTTGTCTTGTTGTGGATGAAGCACACAGACTGAAGAATCAGGATTCATTGCTTCATAAAACACTATCTGAGGTAAAAGAACAGTACCTTCTTGTTTTGTTCAAATGTTAGATGAAGAATATTTTGCAGTTCCATTCTTGTACATTTTGGGGGTTTCAGTTTCTTGGTTATCTTTAGGGTTCAACCGAATAACAGTATATTTCTAGTCTGATGTGAGGAGACATCCAATATGAGTTAAGGATAAATTATTGGTATTTTTGACTCTTCAATAAGAAAATCAGCAATATTAAAATTAAATTTAAAATATTTGACTTAACTCTGGAAAAAAACCTCAATTGTTTCAGAAGACACACAAGTTTTCCAACTTTTCTGAAAAAGGGAATAGAGTTTGTAGATGTAGACTAACCTCTATACTTTATATTAATTGCAAAATAATATTGCAAGACCCCAAATCATGGCCCATATCAAATCCCATCATGTCTGGGTCTGATGGTTAAGTATGATTGGTAAAATTCCTCCATTCAGCAGTGTCTAAACTACAGAACATCTTTTAGTATTCAACAGATTTCAGTCTCCTGCTGACTGGTACTCCAATTCAGAACAATCTTCAAGAGTTATATTCCATGCTTGCGTTTATTGAACCAGTTATATTTCCCAAGGAACTGGTGGAAGAATTTGTTTGCTATTACCATGGAATTGAAAAAGACAGTGAAACAGGCAAGTAGGAAGTTGAGACTCATTGCAGAACGTGAACAGTTGGGATTTAGGTTTCCTTTTTGATTATGTTATTATTGTGAAAGGAATGTGTGCAGCCTGCACTTGAACCAAAAACTTTCTAATTTTCAATTAAGAATTCAGTATCCTACGATATCACAGACCTAGTCTTTGTGCTGTTTCTTTTTCCTTCAGTGTTATAAGAGATGTATAGTCATGCTTAGTTTTGTTTTGTTTTTTAACTTATGCAACTGTTTCATCAATCTGCAGTTGTGTATACAATTTCTGTTGCTGCCCCGGGTAAACCCACAGTCGCTTAGGCAAGCTTATTTTTAAATACAGGTAGTCCTCAGTTAATGATAGTAATTGGCACTGGGAACTCCGTTGCTAAGCAATGCAGTTGTAAAGCGAAAAATCATGACTACGCCGACTTACGATGGCAGTTCTGGACTTACGATGGCAGTTCTGGTTACAGTCGTTAAGCAAATCATGCATAAATCATGCACAGTCATTAAGCCTGATGTCACATGACTTGAGACTAAAAGGCATTGAATTTGGTCCATATGTGGGAAGAAGAGTTCAGTCTGCAATAAGATTATGGATCTAACTGCATCCATAATTAGTGCCCACAAATTTAAATGACACATTTAATATATTTTAATATGACACTTGTGTACTAGCACTTAAAACATGGATAGCTGCCCATACACCAGCTTTCCCCAACCTTATGTCATGCTGCGGAATAATGGAATTCTTGAAATAGAGCAATTGAAATTAGGGACGTTTATACTTGTTAATCTTTGTAACTCCAGACCTAATGATTTTAGTGGGTTTCTCCTTAAATGAGACTGGTTTTGGATCCCACCAATTATGTCCATGCATTATACAGTATGTTTGTTGTATTAAGCTCTCTTTTTAAATACAATCATTTCTTAATGTCACTAGTTATTAAACAAACACGCTAAAAATCTAAAATAGTCAATTTTCTGTAATATTCATGTACTCACAACATTACTTAGGAGATGTACTGAAAACCAGCTAAAACTTCCCTAGGCCCAAAGATACTAGCATTATGTTCTGAAATATAAACTGTAGAAAATATAAAGGATAGATGCATAGAACACACCATCATAGAACTGGTGCCTTGATTTGTTAATGGGATTATTTGATACAATAGTCTTACATATATCTATTTCATTACTATATATCTCTCTCTTCTGTTGTGTGAATTGCAGAGACTGATTGTGGATGATGGATAGCTTATTTAAAATGACCAGTCCTTTGGACTTCTACTTCAATTTGAGAAATTGTTTCTCCCAATGTTTCTTAGCTACCTCTACTAGAATTCATTAAGCCGTGTATCTCCCATGGATTTGCTTTCAGTTAGCTTCTATTAGTTGAAGCTGTGGGAAGATTTGCAATTTCTCCTACAAACATAAAGCCAAAGCATAACTGTCTAAACAGTGGAGTGATTGTAAATTGAGCTAATAACATTTTTATATTCTACTTGGAAAAAAACTAGATGTAATAGAACTACAAGTTGTTGTTTTTTTTCTGATATGCAGAAAAGAAAAAAAGGGGTACTACTTTCTTATGGTATCTTACTACACACATACAGTAGATATCAAAGGAAAATGAAAGTGATGGTGCCTGTAGAATGTTTTCAGTCCTGTTTGTATTTAAAATGCAGGTCTGTAACTAGCTTTTTCTTTCTCTTTTTAAGTCAAAGAACTTCACAGTCTGTTGCAGCCTTTGTTGCTCAGGAGAGTGAAGGCAGAAGTTGCAGAAGAAATTCCAAAGAAGGTAGAAGTCGTTCTCTACCATGGAATGTCGGCACTACAGAAAAAACTTTATAAGGCTCTTCTCATGAAAGATCTAGGTAAAAAGAGAAAGAGTAGATTTTGCCACTGGCCATATTTTAGTACAGACTTAAAATAATGATTTTCTTGGTAAATTGAGACAGGAAGCTTAATGCTGAATCAGACTTCAAATAGATCCATTCAAATCATGAAGATTTAGTCACAATTAAAGTCCCATTCCTTTAAATGTATATACTTTTCAGTTTCTTCTTAAGGGCTACCTTTGTGATTTTTTTCCATATTAAGGTTATGCTTAGTAATTTTGCTAGGAAAGAAAAAGTAAACCTCAAGCACTATTTGGTTTTTCTTATATTTCTTATATTTCTACCCCTAGCAGTTCTGAGGAGTTTACTAGTTTTGGACTTATTCCCATCATTTATATGAAAGCAGTACTCTCTATATAGTTTTTTCTTCTTTGTCCCTTCTAGAGTTTTACCTAGGAACAATTGTATCTCTGTTTTCCCGTTCATGAGGTTTCCAATATGTCAGCTATATATGTTTTCTCATTTTAGAATTAATGTGATTTGTACCAGCTGCTCAAGCTGCCTCATTATGATTTGGGCAGTTTCTAGTATTAGTATGTAAAACGTAGTCATTGTGTGTGTACAGTATGTGCATGTATACAGTGAATGAATTACTCCTGATTTAGCCTTATGGAACAGTTGTTTCAGTTTTCTGTATCGTCATTGTGAAGCTATTCCTAGTTCTCTGCCTTGTGACAGTTCTTCTCTTTTAGCTTTCTCCCAAAAGTCTATTGTTAAAAGTAGTTCTGCAGCTTCTTCTAATATTTTATCCAGCATTCCTGTTCCATTGCTTTTCAGATGAAATCCATTCCTTTCATGCAGGCTCAGCCTTTTTCTAAATGACTCTAGTCTAAGAGTCAGTGTCTTTCTTATTAACACTGTCTTATCCATGCAGGTATAAATATCTAGCTGATCCTATGGATGGAATGGTTAATAGTCTTGAAAATGCAAATAGGAGTTCCGCAGTCTTAATTATTCATTTCTCTGTAATCATGTGCTACAACTTCTGTTTCCTTCCTCATTAAAACTGCAAGCTTTGATTCCAGCAGGCAAGTTACGTTATATTCAGTATCGTCACAGATTGTCAAATCACCTTCTGTCACGAGTGTCCATCTCCTGTCCCTGCAGCTCATCTGTCTTTAGATGTTCTGGACTTTGGTTCTATTTGTGAAGAGAAGCTACTAAAAAACAAAAGCATGCTGATAAGGGCTAATATGATGATAGTTAAGTGAATCCCGGAATCCTAACACTCTCAGTATTAATGGTTTGTTTATCTGAACTTGAGATTGCAAGAAGAGATGGGCCAGAAATGTTGCATAAGAAGGTGAATTTCCTAAGGAGATCAGGAGTTTCTATGCAGTATCTGCTGAAGCTACTGTATCCCCCCACCAATTAACATAATTGTTAAGAACATCTTGCCTGAATTAGTTTTTTTTTTTAATATTTAGATTAATATAAGATTGCAAGAATGTGTAATGGTGCCTAAGTCAAAGATTGCTCATTTCTGCAGTAGATGCCCAAAGCATTGGCATGAAATTAAAAATTAAGCTGTTACAAACATTTCAGATTCAGGATTTTGGTATCACAATGCGCTATCTGCCATGTTAATATAATTGGTCATAAGAAAAGAATGCATTTTGAACTTTTAAGGCGTTTAAAATTTGTTAGCAATAGCTTTCTTTTTTGCTGCTTCTACCAAAGCATAGATATTGAATTGAAGAAACTATAATGTTGACTTTTAATTAAAATGTTCTTCACCAGCTGTTCTGCCTGATAAAATCTTGATACCTAAATGTATCAACAATAACAGTAAATGTCTCTAATATTTTTTCAGATGCATTTGAAAATGAGTCGGGAAAGAAAGCTAAACTCCAAAATGTGTTGATTCAACTCCGGAAATGTGTAGCTCATCCATATCTATTCAATGGTAAGAATTATGAACATGAGCATTGCTGAAGCTGCTATTTAAATGAGGTAGGCATAACAATTGTATTATTTGGCTAAGCAGATAATTATTGAGTTATATGGGGGCAGAGGGTGCCTTCAAGTCAGTGTTGATTCCTGGTGACTGTCTGGACTAGTCCCTGCAGTTTTCTTGGCAAGGTTTTTTCAGAAATGGTTTGCAATTGCCTGCTTCCTACAGCTGAGAGAGAGCAGCTGGCCCAAGGTCATCCAGCTGACTTTGTGCCTAAGGCAGTACTAGAACTCATGGTCTCCTAGTTTCTAGCCTGATGGCTTAACCACTACACCAGATTGGCTCTCTTATAAATTTTAGATAACCAAAGTGTATTTGTTCTCTGTCACCTAGGATGGAGCCAACAGAAAAAGATTAACCCTAGCCCTTCCAGTCAGAAGGCAGGGATAAACCTTTCCATGTACCCCCACCCCACCCCTCCAATAAAGGACTAAGAGATTTTTCCTCTTAGCTCCATTTGGGCCAAGCAGTATGTTGATTGCATCTGTTGCTACAGACAGTGAAATTCAAGGAACACAGTACTGATAGTGGCTTTCATTCATACATTCAGGGCTAATATGAAGATTCCACTTCCAGATCTATTCACAGAAGTTACTAAGAAGGAATGGGCTGATCCAACTATAAGACCCTTCCCTCTGTGGCTATGAAATTGAATCTCTTCCCTAGGAGTCTACAGAATAGCTTGGGATGGCGTCTGTTGTTGTTTTTAAGATTCCACAACAACAACCCTGTGAGGGGAGTTCGGCTGAGAAAGTCAGCAACTAGCTCAAAGTCACCCATCTGGCTTTCATGCCTAAGAAAGGACTAGAGCTCACAGTCTCCTGGTTTCTAGTCCTGCACCTTGACTACTACATCAAACTGATTCTCAGGCAGTGAACCTGTTGCACCTCTCATCACCAGTATGGTGGTCAAGAGAGAAGGAGGAACATTCTAGTGGACTTTACTGAAATAGGGCAAATGGACTTGTGAGGGAGCAGCCTTGGGCATTTGAGCCTCAGTGATAGTTTCTGGCACTGTGATTTGGGCATGTGCATTGTTTAAGGGTTTGTCATGCACTAAGCATTTACAAAATCATTTAACAAGTTTGCCAAAATAGTGGAATTCATTGCTGATACTACTTTGGACAGTCCTCAGTTTGAACAGGGTGTCTTCTGAAGGCGGGCCTCCTGGAGGTGGTAGTGGAGATCCTCTTAGCATCCAAGTGCCCGAGCTAATACTTTATGCCAGCAGCCAGCTACCCTGGGTTCTGTACTTTGAGACAAGCAAGGGAGTCCAGTTTCAGAGTATTCCTGTGTTGGAAGGAAGGAGAGCAGAGAGAATATTATTTAATTTCTGTTCAAATCCTAGCCATCCCAAGGAGCACTTTTGGAATAAGCTAGACATGCAGAGAACCCAAAGGGTTTATCTTCATCTTACTCTTGGGGAACACTGAACAGGTAATTTTTTGTGTCTTACATGACAGGGAGCACAAGGAGAAGAGTATCAAGATCTTCCATCAGCAGATAAGTTAAGGAATATATTGGCTTTTCTTGTCTAGTAACAAGCAAATATGGCCAATTCATTTAGACAAGCAACAAACTCTATGGCAGTGGGTATTCAGTTGGAAAATGTTTTCAGAGCCACAACTTAGGCTAAGGCAGTTACCTTTATTAAACATTACAAGACTGTTAAGTTCACTTTGATGGAGATTTATTTATTTATTTTTCAAATTTATATATGCCGCTCATCTCACTATACAAGTGAGTCTAGGCAGGCACACAGTCCTTCAGAAGATATTATAATGGCCCACCCAAGATATTGACTTTGGTATATCCTTTTCCTATTGACTCTGTTTTCTGTGGCAGAACAGCACTTTCCTATGAGATGCCATTCTGGTCACCAGAAGATGGATCTAACAGTCCCACCAAGATTTTTAAGATTACTAGTTCTTTGATTTATAGTTCTTTAGGACACACGTAACTGAATATGGGAGACTGCGTTTTCTTGCATTTTTTCTTATGATTACTAAAGGTGGGAACAAATTGTGTTTTGCAGTTGAACTCAAGGATGGAACAGATCCTCCAACAGTTGCAAACGTTTACCCCTGCTTTCTTTTTTTTATTAGAATTTTTCAATACAATAGAAGTATACAAAATTAAAAGAAGATTAAGAAAGGGGGAAAAAAGTCCATATAAGGCTTCCAGTCTTTTAAAAAGAAGTCTTTTATCAGTTAGCTTTAGCATCTCCACAAGCTCCATCAATTTTATAATCCAATCTTCTACTGTGGGTATTTTATTATTTTTCCATCTTTGTGCATACAATAATGTTGCTGCAGTTACCATATACAATATTAATTTCCCATATTTCTTTTCTAGAAGAAAAGTCTTACTTTGTGATTAGAAGTGGTGGAATTAACTCTTTCCTGTCCTTTCTTGTCAGGTCCATCTAATAGTGACCAGAATGGCACCAAATCTATAAGATCATTTTGAGCAGTTCTAGAAAGCATTTTCAGTTGTTTAGGATCAGATGGTTTTTCCAGATCATGATAGCGTTCAGTACAATATGCAGTTTTTTCTGCAGCTTTGAGAAAGATTTCCTGTTGGGATGCACAGCTACTGTTCACTGCATTGAGCTTAATATAAGTCTGCCATGGAAATCTGTTTTTTTATTAAAGCAGTATTAAGTATAATAAATAAATAGCCTGAATGCATCTTTAAAGGGCCAGACAAATATATAGCATTAATTTTTAAGGATAAGCAGTGGTTATTAGTTTGCTTCTAAACTTGTTTTAAAACGATAGCATTATATTTTTAAATTGGCTCAGATTTGTTTGAAATCATTCTACCTCTTGTTCTTCTTGGTGGCTTCATATTGTCATTACTCTCTTTTTTCCATGAGAATGCATGATGTGGCCTTGAATGACTTTGATTGTGCTCTCTTCTCTGTCTCTAGATTTTCTTTCTCAGGGAGATATTTGTGCATATTACTTCCTGATATTTTAGCAAAGGGCTTAGAACTTTTATTTTCTAAACCTTTCTGAGATAAATGAGTGCTACAGTGGGTGTAGTATTATTTCTAATTTTATTTTGAGGTTGTGTATTTTAAAGGAATTTTATGTTTTATTGCTTTTTTGTTACTCGTTTCTTGGAATAACATATACATTTGATTAAAAGCCATATTTATGATACTGTGGGCAATTCAAAGCCTGTCCTCAAGTTAGTGGTACGATTATACCTTCACCTCTCTGCTGGTGGAGTCTCAGAACCCATGTGCCCATATGCAATGAACTCAACTATTCTAATACGTGAGGGATTAATCAGGAAAATGCTCCCAGATCCCTTCTGTTTATTTGGAACCACTGCTGAAGTATTTTGTCTTAGAATGCATATTTAGATGCAAATCCTTAATAGAGGTGCTTCATGATAACAATTTTTCTTTCTAGGTGTTGAGCCAGAGCCCTTTGTCATTGGAGATCACCTCATTGAAGCCAGTGGCAAACTGAATTTGTTGGATAAGCTTCTTTCTTTCCTGTATGATGGGTATGTTTTATACTTTCTGTGAACTGGACATTTTACCTTGAACATTTGAAAAGAACTGGTTAATGTGAGGGAATGATTTAGCACAAGAACAATTTTTAGAGTAAGGGGGAGACTTTCTAAGACATTATTTGAAGAATAGATAAATTAAAAGTATTTTCTTTGCCTTAATGAAAAATGTACATTCATTATTAAATCATGCTCATTGGAATCAGGGCTTTGGAATTATTTTGAATTTTGCTCAGTTTTGCCAATGGCCAAAATATTCCAGTAATATTTCCTAGCACTTTCAGCTCATTCAAACAAGGAATGGTATTCTGTGCCCTCTCCTGAAGTGTTGAAAATGGGTGGGGTGGGCTGACCCTTCCAATGGTCAGACTATACTGGAGGTAGGGGATGGGGGGTGGCTAGGTAGGATGGGTAATGTATTGGTTTGTGTCATGCCATATTTCTAGTTCAGCACCTTAACCAAACTGCTTTCTAAAACTTATAAAAAATAAAGACAGTAGGAACAAGAAAAGGTTTAAAAAATGTGTATGAGACATGTAATATGAAAGATAGAAGCTACACTGGATGCAGTGGGCCAGCTTGAATGGCTTGGCTAGGTTGCCTGTGCACCAGGTTGTGAATGCCAAATGGGTTTTGAAAGGGAGGGCAATAGCATGGGTCAAGACGATTACGGCCTTGCAGAGGTCTCAGCAGACTA